CCGCTCAAGCAAGTGCCACGAGGACGCCTGACGAGAGTGACGGCAGCACCGCGGCCTCCCACACCACCTCCCCTCTTCTGCTTTTTCTTGTTGCGTGTGCGGCTGCTGCTGCGGTGGTGGCCGCGTGAGAGTGAGGGAGAGAGAGCCGTGCACCGCCCGCACACACACTCGTCCTTCTCTCTCTGTGTGTGTGTCCCCTTGCATGGACTCTCGCTCTCACCTCAGCCTAATAAGCACACACATAATTTGTTTACGTATTTATGAATGCACACCCATGCAGGCCCGTTGGTACTCTCTTTTGCACCACACGCACCGCTGCCGTCCTGCTTGGCTGCATGGTGGAGCACCGTAACAGTTTTTTACTTTTTACTTTTTCATTGCTTTGAGTGGGCGACCTCTCTCTCTCCCTGTGTGTGTGTTTTGCTTTACGAGAGCAATGAGAGTGTGTGTGCTTCGGTCGTCCCACGCTTCGGCTTCTTGTTTCTTTTTCTTTTTGTTTTTTATTTTCTTCTTTGAGTCTCTGCTCGTGTTGTGGTTGATTGCACTCATTCCACCCTTTTTATCAGTGGCTTGCATTGACTGCGGGCGTTTAAATCTCCTCTTTGTGTTCTCATACCGTTTCTTTCTTTTTGTAGAGGTGTCAGTCTCTTGCATCCTCGTCAGGCCATTACGTTTTTTCTTCCACATGCGCCATGCGTCGGTTGATCCACGTCGCCCCGCGGCCTGCAGTGCTGCTGCTGCTGCTTGTGATGATGCCTGCGATGTGAATTGCCGGCGGGTGTCCTGCTGTCATCCTGACGTATCCCTGTTTCCTTGACGATGCGGTGCGTGCCGGCGGCGTGTGGGCGTCCCCGGGTGTGGTGGGAGACGTGCCTCTCGGAGCGCAGGATGCGTTGCAGGTGTGCAGCGTCGTTTGGAGGGACCGATGGGTGCCTGTCCGCACCAAGGCGCCAACAACGGACCCGTGTGGCAGCAGGAGGCACTGCGGCTTCTCCTGGTGTTGCACAGCGAATGCATTGGACGGCGCGTTTGGCTGCGGGAATGGTGTTGTGTCGTCTGCGCACGGGAACGCTGTTGCCGAGGAGGTTGTCCCTGCTGCTGTCAAACTGCATGCGGATCGTCTGCTCGTGCAGCCACTGGAGGGTTCGTTGGTTGTGCCGTCACTCGCCACTGGCAGTGTTTGCGGTCGGTTCACTGTGCCTGCTGAGCATGTTCCGCTGTGCTGCCAATTCTGACACAGTGCTGTGCGTGGCTGCTGCGCCGGGTGGTGTGTGGGCACTGCGGTGCGCCACGCTGGAGGATGGCCGTCCCGTCGCTGGCGCCATGAACATTGTCCGGCCGCTTTGTTTCACGGACGCCTCGCCACCCGCATTGTCGCGCACCTGATGGCCCATGCTGTCGGGTTTGCCTGCCCGCACATGGCAGGCCGCGGCATGGTGAGGAATGCTGCCTGTGTGCGTGGCGGGGCGCTGTTGGTGGTGGTGCACTCGACGACTGCCGCGATGGCAGCGAGGGAGCACCACGACTGCGACGATGTTGATGGCGTGGAGCAGCAGGATGGCGATGGGGATGGGAGGACGCTGGAGTCGCACCGGTCGCGGTGCCACGCGAGGGATGTGTGGATGGCAGCGATTGGGGTGCCGGCGACTGCATGGAGCTGACGCTGGCTGCATTGGCTGTCCTGGGCTGCATGAGGGTGAAGCGGGAGATGGTGGAGCCGACGCGTTGGTGCGGGAATTCGGGTTGTGCGCTGCAGCAGCAGAGGAACTGCTCCGCACTGAACATGGGTGAATATCTTCGCATGCTGTGCGAATTGGGCGTTCCCGTCGAATGCTGCGCGTCGGATCTGTATTCCAGTGGCTGGTGTTTGGGAGTGTGCATAAAATGTCAGCAGAGCGCCCGATGGACAGCTGCCCCATCATTGATCCCGCACTGGATGTGAGGGGTGCTGACGGTGTTATTTGGCGGGGAGAATGTTTGTTTGCGATGCCCGGGGATAGACCCTCTTCGTGGTGTCCGGACACGCTTCCCACGAACACGACAGATGCGAGGGACCCGCAGGAGACGTATCTGAGTGCTGCCATGCATGCGGCATTGGGGTGCCTTGTCATGCAGGTGCGTCTTAGAGTGGTCGAAAAGGGCGGCGTCCGTTGGGTCCCATGCACGGACGGGGCGACGATTGCGTGGACCACTCGACCGCACGATGAGGGAAGCGTTGCTTGCCGTGGCCACGCGCAGGTGTGCACGATATCCGCCGCCGCCGGCAGTCTCCTTCCGGTGGTTCCGTGGGACGGCGAGGAGAGGGTGTGGAGCAGGACGGTCCCACCGGCAATTACTGGACAAGGATTGCGAGGGGGCATCCGTCCCCGTTGCGGAGAGCATTGATCCCGGCCGCGGCACCCCACCGGAGGATGTCGACTCGGCTGCACCCCAGAAGAATCCGTCGCCCGAGGAGAGGCAGTCGCCCCAGATGCTCCGACAGGCGACGGGGTGATCTCGCCCAGCGACACCGCGGGTGCGCCGCAGGAGGCTTTGAAGAAGAGCGGTCTTCCGTGCAACGACGATGTTGCCGCCGATGGTGTGACGTCTGTTGTGGGACAACCAGCAGGAGATGAGGCCGCCAGCGACGGGGCCGGTGGCGGTGCCACAACCACGGGACCCAAGGGCCCTGATGCCGCTGATGCCGCGCAGGGCGCCGTGGACCCTCCGCGGAGCGATGATGATGCGGCGGTGGGGCGCGGGGATTGGGAGAGGGACCTGACGGACGCCCCGCCTCCGATCCACGGCAATGACGCTGCTGCAGCAGCTTGTCCCTGTCCGCTGCTTCTTCTGCTTGCCGCTGCCGCCGCCGTGACACCACTCTGCTGAGCGGCGGCATGGGTTCCGTTGCACGGTGAGGCGACTGCTGTTGCCTCCTGCGTGGATTGCGCTTAGCAGTGGATGCAAGAGAGAAACAATCCATGCCAATTGATATGCCTCGCTCTATACACCTTCTGTTTGTCTGTACACTTTATGCCAGGGACATGCTCTATACACTCTGCCTCTCCTGTGCTGGCTGCCGATGTCGAGGCATCGCGCACCTTTTTTCTTTTTGATGGTTTACGAGTACCAGTCTGCTTGACTTCTTCTGAGGAATGCCGTGAGGGCGTTTGTGTGCGTGTGCGAGGGCCCCGTGTGGGCTGCGATTTCTCATTATTGTTTATTTATTTGCCTTGGCTTTGTGTAATGATCCTTCGCCTCTCCTATTGTGTGTGTTGTGTGATGGGCGGTAAATGAAGTGTGTGGACGAGCCGAAGAATAGGTGCTTGTGACCAGGATGCTTGCGACGAGGGCTGGCTGCCTAAATGAATATGCATCCTGATAAAACGAAGTCATTTCTGTGCGGTACTTTTTCTCTGTCTTGTGGTCGATTGGACGACCGCGATGGACGCAATCAGGGTGCCGATGGCGGTAGGACAAAAGTGTTTATTTATTATTAATTTTACCTTCACAGCCAACCCCTTTTTGATTTCCCACCACGCGGCGGTGTTTTGTGGCTGCAGGACCCCAAAGTCTGCCGCCTCGTAGGTCTGTATCTACATATCCCATCCGAATAGAGTGAGCGGCCCACAATTGTGGCTAACGGATGATATTTATATACATATATACACTTACCTGCTGTTAAGCTTTGAGGGTGTGGTGAATCCACTCTTGTCCCACTCATCCTTTCTTATTCCTATCTGGTTTGTTTTCTACCATCGATAAACTCAGGATCCGGCGAGCGGCCCAGAGGATTATTCTGCTTTAATTTCTTTTTCGATTATTTATGAATTCTTTTTTTTTTCTTTTACACATTTTTGTATGTTAAATAGTTTTTGTTTGCATATTTGTGTCCACCCTTCGCCTTTTCTTTTAATTTTTTTATGGTTGCTTTATTTGTTATTATTTTTTGTTTGTGTTTGTTTTGTGTTCATGGGGTGGGAGGCTGTTATTTTATAGATGGTTTGGTTTTTGACGCTGGCGAGTGTGTGCAGC